TACTTGGTACACATTCTGGCTAAACTGGGGTAGGGTGGGGGGAGGCTTGGAATGCCTGGTACCCATGAAGATTTCTGAATAAACTAGGGTGGAGGTGAAGAATAGGGAGGCTTAAATTGCCTGGTATCCATGGGGTACCAAGCCAATGGGGGGTGTCTTGGATTGCCTTAAATTGTCTGACACCCAGGGTTCAAAGTAATCTGCTACCTGGCTAATGTGACAGAAGGATCTGGGGTACACTTTGAAGAAGCTCAAAAGGGTGTCATAATGAAGGAATAAAAATTTAGGTACTTACCAGGTATAAAGCACTAAGCACTAGGGACACAAATAGAAAAGACAGTCTATGGAGGAGACAACACATGAAAGGTTTGAGAGGCAAAGCAGATGGTGATGTAATAAAGGCTTTTGTCCAGTTTCTTGGATAAGGACCTCCATACTGAGACATCTCTTTAGAATCATAGATCTAGAGTTGAAAGGGACCTTATAGGCCACTTACTCCAACCCTGACCTTTTATGGAGGAGGAAACTGAGGCACAGGGATATTAAGTGACTTACCCACAGTCATACAGGTCATAGCTGTCAGAGGCAGTATTTTAACTTTTATCCACTCTGTATACTCATTATTTAGAAATAGAGTAGTAGTAGAAGTGTGCTGCCTTCATTAATGAAGGAATGAATGAATAAGTGTTAAGCACCTGCTAAGCACTAGAGGTAAAATACTAAATCTAGGCAGACTGCCCTCTGAGTGGTCTATTAAACTATTCATTGCTCTTCGACACTTTTGCTTCAAAAATACTTGAGACTCTCCTTTCACTATCAACAGTAAATATGAAGGGGCAGCTAGGTGGCGCAGTGGATAGAGCACCGGCCCTGAAGACAGGAGGACCTGAGTTCAAATACGGCCTCAGACCAAACACTTGACACTTACTAGCTGTGTGACCCAGGGCAAATCACTTAACCCCAATTGCCTAAAAAACAAAACAAAAAAACCCAGTAAATATTAAGCATACCCTATTGTCCCAGTGTGAGGTCCTCCTGAAGGACCTGACCAATTCAGTTAGGGAGACAGATATTAAGATTTGGGGAATTTATCTTGTGAACATCACTTTTGAATTGTTAACTCCCTGACTGACAGATCTCTTTTCTTTGTAACCATGATGAACTTTCCCTAACTGATTAGCATTCAATCTGGTTATATTAGGTTATATTAGGTGACTGGTATTCATTCCCATTGCTGGATTGGTGCAGATCCATAGAGTGCACAGAACTACTGGACTTTTCATTACAAATGTGCTTTTGTAGCCAACTTTACCGTGACTAAGTGACATTGTTTGTGGAGGTGGTGAAAGATTAAGCCAGGCTATAAGTTCATCTAAGTACAATTAATAGAGATACAATATTCTCCAATAAAAGAGAATCAACTTTTTTCCTACACAAATGACTGTCAAATCTATTTCTCTGGCCCTAACTTTAATGCCAGCCATATATTCACCATTTGCCTACTAAACATTTTTACTTAAATTTATCCTTCAGCAGCATCAGACTGAAGGTTTGTTTTGTAAAAGGAAACAATCTTCCCAAATTAATCTTTTGACCTACTGAGCAGGGCTATTGCAAGAAATCAGTCAATAATCAACATAATAACATATCGTTGAGGCCTGAAGGTCATAGGCATTTACACTTTTTACTTACAACATTATCTTTTTGGAGCCTCAAGGTCATGAATTTATACTTTTTACTTCAAGATGTATTTTAAAATAGGAGTGAGGGATCTGCCATAGGCTGAAGCTGACCTGGAGCTTAATTTCATCTGGCCCACAGACAATTACTAACTTCGGGATTTCAGTAGATTGGTGACCTCATCAATCTGGGCTCTCCCAACCCCATGAATCAAAAGCTATACTTATAATTGTAAAAAAAAATTGTTTAAAAGTTTTAGGCTACAAGGGGGTGTGTTAGTTGCTTTAAATATGTTGCTGGATTTCTTTGTGTAGCACTGTGTGGTAACTGGGTGTGTGTCTCTGTCTAGACAAGTTTTGTCTTGTTGCCTTGTGCCATCCCCAGGTGTATCTCCTTCCCCTAGTTTCTGCTGCTCATTGACTTTTCTTTTAGCCTTAAGCCATCTCTCCTTCTCTCCTCACTCTTTATCTCCCCTTTTCTCCCTCCCTCCCCTTACTTAAAACAACCATAATACAAAAGTGACATACATTTACTCTTAAGGGGGGAAAACGGCTCCTTGCCTTAACTCCATAGGGTAACTAAAATTCAGGAACCCAGTTACCCACGTTTGAGAAACTTCAACATTTTTCTTGAGTCTTCTCTTCCCTCTTCCTTACACCCCACCGTCTACACATGCAAGATGATGTGCCATGTCCTGCTGATTGAATCTACACAGCATATCAAGACTAAAAAAACCCTTTAAGATTCTGAGCTGAAAGGAACCTCAGGACCATTTTAATTCAAAGGTATGAAGTGAACAAAGCACTGGACTTAGTGCTCTGTTCCGATCTGGACTCAGATATTTCCTACCTGTGTGACCCTAAACAAGTCACTTAACCTCTGCCTCAGTTTCCTCCTCTGTACTATGGGGATAATCTCTACCTCTCAGAGTTGTTGTGAAGGTAAATTTTTTTTTTAGTGAGTCACTTACAGTTTATTTTGCCTGAAAGTATTTCACATCTCTTTGTACACAGCTACAGAACAGGAGTAAGTAGGAAACCATCAGGTAAAGCAATGGTGCAAAGGAGAGAGGTGGCTAATTGTTTCTTCTTTTTTTCAATCAACTTTCTGCACCTGATGCCAATTGTGCAGGATGGGACTTGAGGGGCAAGGGCAAACACAGAGAACCTGGCACATAAAATGAATTAAGACTTAACCCAATTTCTCTTTAAAAAAAAAAAAGGGCAGAGCACAGGGTAATAAAATCTACTTAGCAAAGTATAAAACAACAAAAAGCATGGTTCCCATTGAGTCAGATAATTTAGATAGATAAAACATTACCTTGGCCATATGGAAATTTTAGAGATGCTGAAGGGGAGAGTGTTTTTCCTAAATCGAAAATAGGACCTCCAAGCAACACCCCCTCCCCCAAAGGCTGTTCTGTACAGTCGTGGCTCAAAAGGAAAAAAAACCAACATTTATTCACCCAGGAAAGGCTCTTACCCTTCTTAGCAGCTGTGGGGAGGCCAGGAGCTCTGAGGACCAGTGGTCACATTTACAGAAAGGG